GCTGGGGGGGGGAGGGGCGGCCCCGAGGAGGGAGGGGGAGGGGCAGGGCCCGCGTCCCTCCCCCTCCCGAGCTGGAGGCCCTGGTGGCCCTGGCGGACGCGTTGGTGGCCAGGGGGGTCCTGGGGGTCTTCGGGGAGAGCCGGGAGCGGCTCCAGCGGCGCCTCCGGGAGCTGGGGGGGGGAGGGGACCCCTCCCCCACCCCCAGCGAGGAGGGGGAGGAGCAGGAGGAAGAGGAGAAGAAAGAGGAGGGGGAGGGGCAGAGACCCCCGGCCCTGGACATGTTCGCCCCCCCCGAGGAGGGGGAGGGGCAGGAGGGTGAGTGGAGTGGTGGACGGGGTGGGGGAGGGGCGAAGGGGAGGAGGGGGGAGTTTGAGATGACTTTGCGGAGGTTGAGAGTTCTGGGGATCCCAGGGGGAATTTGGGGGTCTCAGCAATGGGGGAGGGGTTCTGAGAAGTGCCAGCGAGGTTTCGGGGGGTCTGGATGGGGTTTCGGGGGGCTGTGGGGGGTGCCAGGGTTTTTGAGGCAGTTTTGGTGACCCCTGTCCCTCTGTCCCCTCCCCCCAGAGGCAGCGGCGCTTCCCGAGGTTCTCTGGGAGTATCACTGGGGGGGGGAGGGCGATGGAGACGCCCCCCTGTACGGCCCCTTCAGCAGCGCCCAAATGCAGGTGGGGGAGGGGCAGAGGACCCCCCAATCCCGGGGGGGGGGAGGGCGCGTGGAAATCACTGAGGGGAGCGGCTGGGATTGGGCACGTTAAAGGGGTGGGGGGAGCTCAAATTTCGGGGGGAAAGACCCCAACTTGGGGGGGGCTAAAAGAGGGCGGGAGAGAACCAAAAGTAATCAGGGCTTGAAGAGCGGGGGGTGCCCAAAATTGGGCTAAAAAATGAGGGAGGGGGAGGGGAAASAGAGGGTGGGAAGAGCCCAGAAGGAGGGGAAGAGGGTGCCCGAACCCTTCTCAGAAGGGAATTGGGGTCGCAGCCATGCCAGTAGCCCCCTGACCCTCCCCTCCCCCCAGGAATGGGCAGCCCAGGGCTATTTCTCGGGGGGGGGAGGGGCGCGGTGCCGCCGCGTGAACCCCCCCGGGCCCTTCTACGACTGCGGCCGCATCGACTTCCAGCTCTACACCTGAAACCCCCTCCAGAGAGCCCAAAACCTCCCAAAAACCCTCCAGAAGCCAACAMCACCTGCAGGGGGAGGGGTCACAGGGGCCCGGCCCCATTTTGGCACAATAAAAGGGATTCCAATTCCAATTTTTGGTGGGTTTTTTTGTATTTGTCCCTCCCCCGTGCACCCCCGAAGGACAGACTCGGCGGTGGGGGAGGGGKTCCTGCGTTTATTGAGGAAGAAATCTCCAATTCCAGGGCAGTGGGGGAGGGGCGAGCGCGGCCTCAGGGCGGG